GAATTCTTAAATCATTAATCAAGTAGTCCAAAATTTATTCAATCCTAAAAATCGATATCTGAAAATTTTTCGGGTCACTCATGAATAATCCGCAGTCAAATTTCCAAAATTAAAAATGGTGGATGCAATATGATGACTGCAGTGGAAGAAGAATTGACTGGAACGCTTAGATTCTTATCATGTGATCCAAAATTGATTTTTTTCCCATGAAGATAGATGTGAGGGACTCCCAAGATGCATTTAATCAAGATTCATAGATTGTGAACAAAAATTTATAATGAATTGGAAAATACATTCTGGATCTGTCATTTTTAATTTTGGAAATATGATTACAGATTGTTCATGAGTGATTCGAAAAACTCATAAATATCGATTTTCATGGAAATTGAATGAATTTTGGATCACCTGATCAATGAAATAAATATTTTCAATAATTTTCATAAGTTTTTTATTTATTCTAACCGCCTCACATTGGAGCAGCCAAGCTTTGAATTTAAAAAAACGCCATGTTTTTCCTTAAACCACATATAAAAACGAAAATTTTAAGCCCTCGAACGTGTTATTTCGACTTCACAAATTTTGCACACTTGTCCCCATTGAAGTGGAACATCCAATATGTTTTTTTTTATATTATTTAAATAAGATATCCGAGAAACGAAGTTTGATTTGTATTATCGGTATTATCAAAATAGTTAAATAAGGTCTTTTCGTTTGAACAACGATATTATCGAGTGCAGATCACACGCGACATTGGTCTCTTTCTCGAGGGATTATACCACTCGCATTATGCAAGAACACGTATCTCTTACGTAACGACAAGTATCAATATTCCATCATATTATTTTTTTCTGTAATCGATGTATTCTATACTTGGAAGGAAGGAACTTGGAAAATCGATATCGTCACTTAGAAAACTTACAATTAGTGTCAAAGGAACAAACGTTACCTCAAACCACTCTGACCACAAAATGTACATACGTGTCAGTCACTGAGAGATACGACATACAAAAAATTATTTAGTAAGGATTGTGTGGCGTATACATATGTATAATAAAGTTTTATCACATGAGAAAGAGAGAGAAAGAGAGAGAGAGAGAGATAGTCACGTCCGATAATAGCAATTCTCTCAATTCGTTGATCGTGACAGAGAAGAAAGGACAACACGACTATTACGAGCTGTACGGAGAGCGCAGAGTTTATCCGAAAGCTATGGAAACTATTTACAGCCGTTATTATGATATCGTTTGTAAAATATCATCTCTCACTGGTATGTGGCCATATTTAAAGCCAAAAACAAGAATATTTCGTATAGCTTTGTTAACTATAATCTTGTTAACTATACTGATACCACAGGTAACTGATACTGGTATGATATATTATACTTTTGTCAACGAGATAATCGACGACAAGAAAGTTTGTTAGGAAAATTATTGTTAGGAATATTATATAATTGATACTTTTTTCACAGATAGCATATCAATTTATGTGCAAGAAAAGCTTGCATTGCACCTTTCAGGCGATGACAGCGTATTTATTATCATTTGTCGCTCTATTGAAGGTGTTCACCTTCCAATTCAACATTCATACAGTACGTTTTTTAACATAAATATCAGATATTAGAAGTACTTCAATAAATATGTCCAAATTAGAAAATTAGACATTAATTAGAAATTTAATAAAAAGGAAAAAAGAAATATAGACACTTCGTAATTATATTTTTTTTTAACATAAATCTTATATAAACGTAATAAAGATTCTAATACGATCAATACTCTTAATCAGATTAAAGATCTTACTCAACACTTGCTCTGCGATTGGAAAGAATTAAATACTTATGAAGAATACGAAATTATGAAGTCCTACGCTGCGAATGGTAGACGATTCTCTTTGATATATTCTGGTGAGTTGAAATTGATGTGACCGATCTATATTCGCGTCGTGTGTGTGTGTGTGTGTGTGTGTGTGTGTGTGT